AAAATCTTGGCAAAGGGCTACCACCCAAGAAATCGCACGCAGCCTCCATCATATCCTTCTTTATTATATCTCAGCATTTAATATAAAAAGCAGAGCTGAACCCATCCAGGCTCGACAAGCTATCCATCGGGATTGAAAAGATAGCTTCTCTTACCTCATCTTCAGTAGGTGCCTTACACAATTGATCCTCGTCATCAGAAGAAATAGTCTCCCAAATAAACTCTGACAAGTCGGGTAGAGGCTCCATATGAGACTCTGTTAGGAAATTATAAAAATAATCTACTGCTACATCATGAACTTCCTTGGGAGACAATAAAATCGTCCCATTTGACAAAATCATCTACTCTATCCTCGAGCTTCTCCTTTTATGTGCAATACTTGCACGAAAGAACTTAGTATTATTGTCTCCCTCCTTCAGCCACTTTTTTTTTGCCTGTTGTGACAGAAGATGTATTTCTTCCCTTTGCTACCACTGTAAGAGCTCTGATTTGGACTCCATAAATTCCTTTTTCAAAACCTCTGAGATGTTCTCTTGCAATTCAGCCTCTAGTGTCTCGACCCTCTCTTCCAACTCCGACATCCTGTGCTCCACCCTTCCAAATACTTGCTTATTCCAGATTTTCAGAGCAATTTTGTGGTTTTTAGTTTTGCAGCAAGCTTGTACAAACCCGTTAACCCCTCACCAATCCCATTTGAATTCCAAGCTTTCTCTACACACGGGATAAAAAATTCATGTTCAGTCCACATTCGTTGGAATCGAAAGTGAGAAGGCCCATAGTTTTCCATTGTCTTGTAAAACTGGACCAACATCGGGCAATGATCTGAAGTAGTTTTTTGCAAATATATCATTTGAATATCTGGAAAAAGTCGCATAGCATCAATATTGGCCAATACACGATCAAGACGTGCCCAACTCCGACCTAAACCTTCATGTCCATTACACCATGATAACTTCCGACCTTTACAAGGCACCTCCACCAATCTACATGTATCAATGCAAGTATTAAATTCTTCCATCGCCACCAAGGGTCTTGGCCTCCCTCTCCTTCGTTTTGCATCATTTCGAATTATGTTAAAGTCCCCCAACACTAACCATGGTAGACCAACCACTCGTAAACCTTCTAACTCCACCCAAAGACTCCTCCTCTCTAAAGCACTACATTTAGCATACACAAAAGTAAGCACCACGCTATGTCCTCCCTTTGTCACTATACCATGTATAGCTTGAGAAGATGCCCCAATCCACTCCATTTGAAAATCATCCCTCCAAAAAATCCAAATTTTGCCCCCTTCTTTCTCATTAGAGACACATCCTGACATCTTTATTTTCTTAGCAAATGAATACATATGTTTTTCCTTGTGAAAAGGTTCTGCCACTGCAAGTATAGCAATACTATGTTTCCTGACCAATTTTCTTAGCCTTCCTTTAGACGTGTTCATCTCTCGCACGTTCCACACCACCAGCGTATCAATCATA